TCTTCGGTTTCCCTTTTCTAAGGCTGATATTTTAGTCAGCTACTCAAAATTTTTGCATTTTACAAGTTTTGTCCTCAATGGATTTTATAATTTAGAGCCAACATTTTTAACATCGACGCCAGGTTTACGGCAAATGAGAAGCAGCGGGTTTGAGTTATGCTTATTTTTTATCTAGGCCCTTTTCTGGTAACGATATGTATCAGTCTACAATTAATAATCACCGTGCTTGACAAGGTCACCTTCTTGGAATCAATTAGGCTGTCTAGAAAAGTCACAACTAATGGTCTGCATAAACAACTCAATGAGCAGAATCGTGGTGAAAACTAACTTTATTGACCTTTGAAGTGCTTTTGCTTCCCTCAGCAAATCTTAGCCGTCGCTCCTATGTGATGTAGAATTATGAGATATGATTTTGCCATTATAAACGCAGACTTTATTTTTTTTTTGATAGAAATGGAAATCCTATATTTCAAGTAGGTAAACGTTTGAGATACACATCTGCTACAATCGTTTTCAGTTGCCTTTCAGGTACCTGTTTCATTTTTCCTGCCCTCCACTTACCTGAGGATACAAGACGTTACAAGGCATGAACTGTCTTTGTCTTACCAGCACTGGTGAAAAGGACAAAGTTGCTCTTTGGTCAAGATTGTTTTATTACAGCTGAAGCGTCTTCAATGAGTCAGCGCAACTCCAAAGTGTGGATTGATGGGAGAGGCAGTGACTTCATCTCCTAAATTCGGAGAATTCGCCGTGTGCGATAGTGCCCATAATCCAACTTAAGAAATAGTAAGGGGTCCTATATATTTTCCACCCATGTTCAAGTCAATCCAGGTCGGGATTGAAGCGCGTGAGAGAGCATACAACAATTATTGCCCTTCCCAAAATCTGCCGAGATATTTGGCGACTAAATCAGTCATGTTTGATGTTAAACAACTCATCTCAATTCGTCTGGTATCACCGACTGCTGCGCACCCTCGTGGATGCGTATCGCATGCAACATGCCAATAATAAGCCAGCTCGGACTTGATTGGTTAGAGCGAAAGTACTTATAAAAGTGGTGCCAGTTTTTGAGTTTAGTCGACAAACGCAAGAGGAAGTTGTTTGATTCCGACGACCGGCCGTCGCACAGGCAAATCCGGATTTGCAAACCAATCAGCGTAGAGCACACGCACGCACCACGGTGACGCATGCACCCCACCCCCCAGGAAGCGGAAGAGGTGAAAACCTAAACACTCAGGGATGTGAGTACCGCGCGTAGAGGTTTAAGGACTTTTTCCCCTCCTCCGACAGTTGGCATAAAGAAAGTATTTTTGTTACAACACAATGATTTATTAACGGGAATATGAATATTGGTCAATAGAGGACAGATCTGCTTTAACTAGAGGTATAGTCTTTTCCAGGTGTTCATGACCGACGGGCTTAGTCATGAACGTAACGTCCAACGACAGTTCTATGAGGCAGTTGCCGTAGATATTGGTTTTATTGGACGATTCTCCGAGGGCACCCACATCCGGCATCGTTAGGGCAAGGAAAACATCATCTTGAGCTGGAGGTGCGAAGTTTGTGAATGGCTCCAAATACGACCTTTCGTCTGTGTCGTGTGGGAGGTAGTAATTAACATTTGGATCAAGTGCCGTAGTGTTTGCGTAGTAGTAGGGGAACAATGGATTTGGAATATGCTTCTTAAAGGTGTACGTTCCTCCTAGGCCCATTGTTTTCACTACCGGCCATTGTAAGAGGTCACTGTTGGCTATCTTCCAGCCGCTGTTGGTAGTGCCCTCCATATTTTTAATCTTTTGATCCATTTCGCAAGGGATAAGGCTGTTGTGCCTATTCTTATTACTGATACATATCAGCATATATGGCGAG